TGGACCATGCAAAAATATCTAAATTTTGAAGTAAGAAACTTACCAGTTCGGATCGTAGGGGTTCCTGGACGGAAGCACCGATCTGAAGCGTCCGAGCTGGGTCTGCGGCTGAGGTCGAAACAGTGACTGTTTCTTTCGTGGGCGCAGCTCGTTCTTCGCCTTGCTTTGTAGGCCGCTCCAGTTCGAGGTCGTTGGCCACCTTGGTCTTTCCCTTTGGGGCGGCGACATAGCACTTGCAGGACTCGAGCTGGTCGCCCCGTGCTACCCCCATACCGAAGTCTGTAGGGAACTTCATTGCCAAATGATAAGTGGAGACCACCGCCCGTAGGATGTGGGTGATCGGCCGACCTATTATGGCATTGTATGGGGAGGGGGTCACGACCACCAAGAAGTCGTAGTTGAGTCTGACTACGCAGGGCCATGTGCCGACTTCCACAGGTACTGTCACTTTCCCAAGGGGTCTGACTTCTTCTCCGCTGAAGCCCACCAAAGGAATGTTCGCGGGCTTTAAGTCACTTCCCTGCAACTGAAGCTGGTCGAACGCGGCTTTGAAGAGAATATCTGTCGAGCTGCCCGAGTCAACGAGTACGCGTCTGACCTCAAAGTCATTGATCTTTACCTTTATGACGAGGGCGTCGTCGTGGGGGTAGTGAACCCCGCGCGCATCGTCCTCGGTGAAGAATATGGGGTCTTCCGTCCTTAGCCGCTTTGGGGGATTTTGTTCTTCTCTGGCGGCCTCACGGGTTAATGCCCAAGCTGCTACCGTGGTGCATCTTGCTACAATCGATCCTCCAACGATCACATGGATCGTTCCCTGAACTGGCCTTTCCTCCGGGGGCTGCTTTTGTGACTGTTCTGCTGGCCGACTACTGGACTCGGGGGCATCTCTACTGTGCTCCCCCTGCCGACCTATCTTATTATTATTATGCTGTACAAAATTTCTTAGATACCCGCAACGGATAAATTCCTTTATCTCGTCGCGGAGATTCTTACAATGCTCGGTGCTATGACCGTGGTCTCTATGAAAGCTGCAATACAAA